AGCGGCCGCCACTTCACCTCGGAGGCTTTCTCGGACACCACGGTTCGGGAGACGCGTTCCCCGCTCTGCTTGCCCGCTGATCCAATAAAACCTACTAGCCCCGATATCTATTTTTATGGACGCGCCCGCGGTGCTGCCACCCGCTGCGGTGTGCTGCAGAGGCGAGCCGTCAATAGCCGCGAACAGAGTTGGACAAGTAAGTGTTTGGCTGCGGCCGTTGAGCACTTGTATTCTCGGCTTCGCTCGTGCACGCCGTTCGCTCCGAGATATTTTCTTCGGTTAGAAAAAAAAGTTTTTTTTTTTTCTTATAAAGTGACCGAACGAAACACTTCTTTCCACGCGGCAGGCCAGAATAGCGAGACCACCTGTGTGTATGAACGCATTCCAAGGCGTGTTCCGCAACGAAAACAAACAAGAAATAGACAATGCAAACTATTTTGGGGAAGCACCGCATTTGAGAGCGAAAAACGCAGGGCCGACGTATTAGGCGAAATAACCACAGAGGAGGTAATTTCGTTGAAAGGTTTACGTCAGGATCATTGGCAGGCGTGCATGTGACGCCTCCTTGCTACAAAAAGGGAGATGACTGTACGGCACGTTTCGTTAGACATAACCCAACAATAAGAACATATAAAAACTAAAAAGCCCTTTACGTATTCGCCTACGAGGCGAAGGCAGACGCAGCCTTCTTCTTCTTCTTCTCAGGGTGTGTTCCAATACTCCTTCTAGGCGGCTAAATAGACAGCTATAGGTGGACGGCGGCCGTCTTAACTACCATTCCAATTCTCACGTAGCCGGCAAAATAGACAAGCTTCGAGAAGACCGCATCGAAGACAAAGACGATAAAGGCTACCTTGCTGTCCAAAACAAGATGGCTGGCTCAGAAAATTGCTCAGATAGGTCGAATCTCACCGAAATGATCGCCTGCACACTCGCAGATGCTTCTTTAGACAGTCAAAGTGAGTAACAATAAACTTTTCTTTTATTTGAAAACAAAATAAACTAAAATAAATAACAGTTACGTTAGTTTATCTTGGCTCTCTCTTCTGGACTCGAGGTGCCGTCTCATCGCGTACACGCCATCCAGACGTGTTCCATTTCTCAGACGATATGGAGTCGATGCTGTCTTCTAAGCTGCCAGCGTAGACTGTCTAAGATGCTGTTTCGAAGTCAGCGTAGCCTGTCTAACATGCATTCGTTGACGATTCGGTTCGCACATCAAGTAAAAGTCAGTACGACAAGTAAAACGCACTTCTCTGCGCATAGCATCTGAACGAAACGTGCGAGCATCACCGCTACATCTATTCGTGCTTGGGTCGCAACAAATAATTTTGTTGCAAGTAAGCGCACGTGTTGTGTCCTTCGTTCCGATCCTTGCGCTACTTTGCACTAAATTATCGCTTCACGCAATCGACGACCGCAGTGATCGTTATGTGGGTTAATCCTATAGTGCGTTTACAAACAAGCTGGTCAAACACTTCCCTTATAATTGAATATTTCATAAACGCGCGAGCGGCCCGAAAAGTTGGGCAACACTGACACACTCGCCAGCCGTGGCGCAACAAGCTGCTCGCGGCCCGAGCGTCGGCATTCCGTCGAACGGACCTTGTTACGCGCGGTCAGACGCGCGCAGTCCAGCGATTTCAGCCTTCTTGAGCTTGACACTTGAATTGAAGCGACTGAAACTTTGTTACGAGACGAAGGCTCCGATTCACGCTGCACTGCCAGACAGCCCTGTCAGTAGCCATGACGGCGAGTGCGGAACACTCTTCTCCTGTCTGCCGGCATCACGTAGCACGTGACGAGATTTTAATCGACCAATATTCAATCACATACTAGCATTCTTAGAAAGACATCAAGCCTGCCAGAACGAGATCCTCGCAACAAACGAAGGAAAGAGGTGGAAAATTAAGGGTTCGTTTCCTTTGTTAGACTGCAAGGTACGCATACATTTATAGGCGGCCAAGGCAATGACGTCACACCACGGAGGACAAGCGTTTGCGACGAGACCCTGAATTTATATACGGGCGATGCGAGAGAGAAGGCGTAATGAGCACGAGTGCTCGCACGTGAGAATGACCACTGCGTAGCCGGAAGGAATGTTGGCCGAGCAAACAACTGTGCGGCCTCCACTTTCCCACAGCCACAGCCACTGTGGTCCCAACGTGGACGGAACACTTGAGCGGCGAGCTGAGAAAGCGTCGCCGGTATACCTCGACGCAATGAAGGTCGTCGCGCATGGGGAAAAAAATCTACGGTGGCTATCTGCCGACACGATGGGAGCGCGTATACAGTGAAAGCCAACGCAGAATCCAAGAGCGCGAGTCTGATCAGACTTCGCTATAATGAAATTGCAGTTTTGAATTAGCTCTTGCTGCAATGCATTCAACCAACAAACAAATAATGAAAAGGCTGCGGCGGCTGCATTTCCGATGGAGGCGGAAATGTTGTAGGCCCGTGTGCTCAGATTTGGGTGCACGTTAAAGAACCCCAGGTGGTCTAAATTTCCAGAGCCCTCCACTACGGCGTCTCTCGTAATCGTATAGTGGTTTTGGGACGTTAAACCCCACATATCAATAAATCAATCAATCAACAAATAATGAAAAGCACACTGAAGTATATCTGCTCTTTTCGTAACTCTACACTCTACCGACTTTCACCTCAATTGAAACGAATTGAATTGAACGAAAAATCACCCATTCCCTCGATGGGTGCTCAACCCACAACCTTCGAATTGCGCGTCTGATGCTCTATCAATTGAGCTAAGACCATTGCATAAGAATAATTTGTCTACGACTATACGGAGCTCCATGTGCGCAATCACACTTACGGCAAATCTTGGGGGCGAAGCTCCTTCGGGTGTTGGTCGTACCCTCGTGGTTGGATGTTGTAGTAGCCACTTATAGTTAGTTTCAAGAATTGCTCACTAGATGGCGTTGTGTGTATATGTTTTTGGAAATATTATCACTAGATGGCGTTAATGGTTTTCGTATAATAAAGAAAATTCACAGCACAACCATGGAGTGTATGATAATGACCGGGGCGAAGCGTCGGTCCGATGCCTGCTCTAGTGTGATAGACAGACAGATGGACGGACCGTACGGACGGACAAACAAAGAGACAGACACACAGACAGACAGACAGACACACAGACAGAGAGACGTACACTTCGCCCCACTCATCATGATTCACTCTGCAGATAAGCTGGGAATTTTTTTCAAATAGGAAATTTAATGCACACAGCCTTTTATTAGGTCTGATTTCGCCATATTAGGGCACACAAAATATTTCATCATTGTGAACACTGACATGATAGTGGATTGCCTCCGTCGTATAATAGACCACGCTAACAATGGTTACTAATCAATCAGTTTATTATCATGTCATAAAAGGACGTTACAGGGAGTAAAATATACAGAAGAGGGTCCCAAAGTACAAGACTGCAACGGGAACTAGTACTAGCGCGTAATACTAGCACTAGTGCTAGTATTACGCGCGTAGATACGGTAAGCTTAAAAAAAACTGCACTTTATGTTTAAAAATAAAACAACTCAGAAGTGCACATTTCGCCTCGATGATGTAGCCAACCTGTCGCAGAAATAGCCTTACCTGCGAATTTTTTCCGTACGTCGCGATTTAAACCAGTGCACGTTTCTCTAACAATTTTTGCTCGCATTGTTTTTATTTTTCTCTTTCTGTACTCACAGAGGAGCAGCAAACAAAAAAGCGTCCCGATTCTCTATCCGTAAAATTCCTCGAAGTAACAAGCCACGAAATAATTGCCCTCAGCGAGCAGCGTATAGGCGAGAACAACAAAACACGACCTCGTGAAGAATCGCTATATAAAACAAGCGAGCCCCCGTGACTGGCAGCAGAGAAAACAAGCCGATCTGTCTCTCTCGGAGCTCATTATGTCGCGACCTGGCAGTGATCGCTCACCGCTAGGCGCCTGCACCAGACGGCAGTGTCGCGACTGCAGTAGGCGGTTTCCGCGCATCACTGCTCAGTCATACGGTGCAGCCGCACTGCGAAGTGCGTTGTAGCTGGGCGAAACCGGATTCTAAAATCGGCGACAAGTTAGGAATAAGAAAGCGTGCCACTCTCCATGCGTAAAATGAGCGTCCAACAGCGGCAGCTTTTTAGATGCGGAGCATCTAATACTCTAGGCTTGTAGTGCGGCGCCGTCCGCAAGCTTCCTCCTCCTTCTTCCACCATCTGTGCATCCCTTCCTCCTCTACACACCGCGTGCGCTTCTCCTCTTCACGAACATTCGCTAGCTGTATAATGTAGCGCGCATGCGCCGTCACGCTTCGAGAACATCGGCAGCTGACGCGCGCGCATGCGCCGTCGCGCTTCGAGAACATCGGCAGCTGACGCGCGCGCATGCGCCGTTGCGCTTCTCCCCCTTCTCGAACATTCGACAGCTGACAGTGCATGCGCCGTCGCGCTGTATATATACTCAAGGTCGGCGCTCGCTCGCTCAGTTGCCGCTCGTCGGTTGGTTTGTACGGCGCGTCGACGTCCAAGGTCGCGGTGAAATGAATTCCAACGAATCCACAAACACAATGATCGACGTCCCTTCGACCAGCGCCGCCCTTTCGCATACGTGTGTACGTGTTCACTCATTTAACACCCCCTCCTACAACCACGTTAACCAATTTAGCCATCGACCCAAGTAAGTTGCAATTTAACACCCCATTTCACAACCACGTTAACCAATTTAGCCATCGACCCAAGTAAGTCGCACTTTAACACCCCGTTAACCAATTATATGCTCCGCATCCTCCTCAGTGTTCCCCCGAGGGAAGCCGCGGGCAATTTTTTTTTCTATGACGTAAATGTTAACATAATCAACAAATAAAAAAGAGCAACATCGTGTCCTTTGCTTGTCCGACCACCTATAAGGTTCGACCACCTGGGGTTCTTTGTGAATCGGGTTTCTGAGCTCCAAAGTGACAGTTAGTAAACGCAAGAAGAAAAAAAATAACAGCAGCACATACCTGGAGTTCCTGTTCCTGTTCCTCGATGAGCAGCTGCTGTTGCCGCACAGTCTCCTCGAGCTCCTGGTTCCGCTCCAGCAGTGTCTTGCCCAGCTCGGCCGCCAACTGAAGGTCTGCGCAGGGTTTAATCATAGAGGACGGTGTTACACAGACTTGTACATCGGCAGCATGCAGCTCACTACAGTTCAATGAGCGTGACACGGCAAAACGGCACAAAATCACGCTTGGACGGTGGGAGGGGGAAATGGGAGAGGCCGCAAGTGAATACAAGTGGGTTGAAGAAGCTTGCGGCAGTAGGACAAATCATCGCACAAAGAGAGATGATAACATCAGTATGAAATCATCAGCCCAACAATCATGATGGCGCGGAGTAACCGCTGACTACAGTGTCAGCGGACACCGAAAAAAACCGCAGATAATTCGTACAAGGTACACGATGCCCGTTTCACCAAGTTAAAAGGGAGTAAATTACCGGTACCATTCAGTAACGCATATGATACAGCCGCTGCAGGTAAATGAACATGAATGCGCGGAATGAGCATTAGAGCTTCAAACAAAACGAGGTATGTAAATGAATAAACGACACTTTGTTCTCTCTTTCTCACGCACTGAGACACTAAACAAACAATATAACTCGCAGTTATTATCGTGGTTTATCTTGAAAAGTGATTTTAGATGGATAAATAGATTCAAGTCGATGTACGGTCACTGCAGAAAAGTAATATCTCAAGGGAACACGGCAGGAATGGCCACTTGTGAATAACCTCGTCTGCGATGAACATGCCTTAAGAACCAAGTTGACTTCGAGGTAAATGGATCTCCCTGAGCGAAGTTGAAACGAAAACTTATCAATCAACGCACGCGCTACAAAAGCGCCGTCATTAAATAAAAATTTTTGAGCCAAACAGACACCGATGAATCTTGTTCAATTCTCGTCCAGGTAATTTCATTGCAGTGACATCGGGTGTAAGATGCCTATTCCTAAGCCCAGTCGATATCTGAAAACAAAAATTTTGCAAAACTGCCACACATTACAGCACTTAGCGTTGAAGGAGGTGTCTCTAATCACAGGCAAGAACAGCACACGTAATACTGTCTTTCCGCAACTCTCATCTAATGTTCATCATACAAAAAAAAAAAAAAGATGTTGAGAATGCGACTCGACGGCATTTAATTGCCCCAACGGAAGGTAAATTCTGGGCAAGTAACTCGTGAGCGGTAAACTATTAAGCCTATGAAAAAAATAAAGTGTGGAATGCTCGAGAGACGTGGTCTATGAAATCCCTTTGACCCTATGGCAACGTGTATACGTCTGCAAAGCAGCCGGGCCAATGCCTGAATAGAACACAGCGACAGCATGAAAAGCTTGGTTAAGAAGTTATGAATGATCATACCTGTGGGTTTACGGCCCAGAACCACGACATGATTACGTGGGATGCCGCAGTTCCAAAAATTTCAAACACCTAGTGTTTTTTTTTTTTTTAAATTAAGCGCACTGACGGCACCCAGTACTGGCACCTCCACCATTTCGAAATGCGAGTGGCGCAGCCAGGATCGAACAGGCAAACTTCGGGTCAGCTGCCAAAAATGACCAACGTCGGGTAATTTACTAGTGCACGGTTCAAATCGTCAGTGCAGACCAATAAGCTGGCGCATGTATAGGAAAGAACGGCAGGGGGAGATTGTTGTTCACGAATGAGACGCGAGGCCGGAAGTGTGCAACTGCACCGTCAGTATAGAGTTGCACATACAGGCAATGCGAAGCTCTCAAACGACCGGCTTCGCGCACGTCGATGGCTTGGTTCGTGTCCATAAAGCACGAGCCTTTTATAGGAGCTTGTCACATCGCATCAATGCACAAGTGAATTTTCACTCTCTGTATATACATTTTGCAAGCGAACAATAATTAATGACAATACGCGCGGCTTAACGTCCCAAAAACACAATGAGAGACGCTGCCGTCGAGGGCTCCGGATATTTCGACCATCTATTGTGTCCTCTAACGTGCACCAACACTGCACATTACAAGGGCATATATAGCAACACGTGGTCGAAATTTCCGGAGCCCTCCACTGCGGCGTCTCTCATAATGGTGGTTTCGGGACGTTAAACCCCACATAGAAATCAATCATCAAATCATTCAAGGGCATCTAGAATTTCGCCTCCATCAAAATGCGAACGCTACGACCGGTATCGAATCCACGACCTTCGGGTTCGAAGCTAAACGCCATAACCCCTAATCTATACCGCGGCAGTCTTGCTAAAGGCCGTAAGATTGCTGTGAAATGTGAGCAGTTATTTTTTTTTTCTTTTTAACTGCTGCGAGATCTATGGTCAGTGTCAAGAACACTAAATTATTAAAAAAAACTAACAACAAAAACACACCAATTCGAACAACCAGTGCAACCACAGAAGCGCATAATGAAGGAGTTCATGCGGTCATCACGGCTGAGAAGAGAGCGGTATAAACCGGTTACGCGGCATGCATGTGCACGATATCCATGCATAATACTCGGCTCAGAATACGAGGCACGCAGATTGAAGTTTAGGCAACCATACCATCACTCGAATACCATGCAGCGCAGCGGAAGCTGCACGGCGAACCGCAGTAAACAGAAACCGGATCTGTACGGACGGCAATATTGTTACGCAAGCACGCCGCCCCGAAACCATTGAGGTTATTTTTAGCGAAAAGCCACTACGCTTCTCTTGAAACATTTTTTTCTTCTTTTTATTTCTCATCTTATTTTTTCTTAAAAATTGTCATTTAAAACTGCCAAGTCATATGCGAAAAAAAAAAAAGATCCGTTTTCAAAATCCCTACCAGGTCTCAAGGTTGTGTTTTCCTTACGTTGATGAACTAAAACGACTCGCAAATATGAGCCTAAACTCGACAGGCTACGCTGACGAGTTTAGGTGACTATGTCCAGGGCATAGTCACCTAAACTCAGCGGAGGCATTGAACTTAGGCAAGGTCCTTCGAAAATTTCGACAAAAGCTACTTACCGGCATTTTTTCCCTCGTTCAACAAAAGATAGTGTCGATTTTTTTAAGGGTTAACTGTCGTTTGTACGACGCATTTATTGAAATGAAGCAAAAAATATAGTTTTTATTATTACAGTGTTACAGCGGAAGTCCAACACCACTCAACAGTATTGGCCACTGTTGCAATGCGTGCGTGCGTGCGCGTGTGCACGTGCGCCCTTCCAGCACGACGGGTAGAACGGTTTTGAATTTTAGCGATATGGCGTGCTCAAACGACAGTGCATATAAGATGGGTCGGATGCGTCGCTTCGACCAACGCCCCGTGTTCACGCGTGACTGCTCTTGCGATTTCAATACCTGTGTGCACGCACGTACGCACACACACACACACACACACACACACACACACACACACACACACACACACACACACACACACACACGCACAAAGTGCAACCACGAGGTTGCAAGGCCGCTATAGAGAGGGAGGCATCGTGCGTGCTAACGACCATGGTCTCCGATCGTAAAAGCGATGCGTCAATCACAACAGTGGCCAAATGGTCCATCTCCCGCTGTCAAGGCGCATATATAGCGTGTCCGACAAACTCCGCGTGGTACGACGCAGCGTCTGATGGTAGCGGTCGCTCGTACGAACAACACGCAACACACAGAGGTTTGGCGGCAAACCGGAAGACATCAAAACAACCCCAAAGTAGTATGTATATGTACTGTAAGGCTTCGGAATGCATACTCACTATAGCCTGTCAGAAGCGTTCAAGGTCACGGCCAGCGCGAACAAGATCGCCGAATGGCGCGGGACGCCTTCGAAGTGCCAATCCGACTACCGGTCAAAGTATAGCAGGTATATATACCTTCTTCCCTGCGCGGTTCATCTGTCAGAGCGCGATGCGTTTGTGGTGAGCGCTTCGAAGGAATGCCACCCCGGTGAACCTCTGGAGGTGCACATTTGCGACAGTGTAGAGCCACTTTGCAGCAGCGAACTGCCAACTGAAAATGGTAAAGTGTATATAAAGTGCGGAACACTTTATGGAGCCGGTCTGCCGGGTGCTGTTGTCACCGCTTGGCGTAACTCATGCAAGCAGTAGTAGTAGTAGTAGTAGTAGTAGTAGTAGTAGTAGTAGTAGTAGTAGTAGTAGTAGTAGTAGTAGTAGTAGTAGTAGTAGTAGTAGTAGTACAAAACTTTCTTATATGCATAAACCAGACAGCCTAGCACTACAGTGCCCTGTAGTAAATACACATAGTGAAGAGCGCAGTCTGTCCGGTAGGGTTGTGCCCCCTATTCCAGGGCCCCACTGGAACGAGCCATCCGTTCAGCTCTGTGGATCAGTCGCAGCTGATCTACAAGGGCTTGGCTAGAGTAACTATATACCATATACAGTTACTCTAGGCAGGGCTAGACAGCAGCGCCTCCCATTTGTCCCATGTGCCACTGGCGTCGTGCTGTTCATCCTGTTCTACGCAGGCAAAATCCCATATATCATAGCCATGCTGTAGCATATTAAGCACCTTGATGATGGCATTAGGTTCTCTGGCCTACTAAGCATCGTCTCGCGGTAAGATTTGTGTTTTCGGAATAATTATATCGCACTAGTACGCAAGAAAAAAAAAAAAACGATTGTCTCTTTAGTGTGAGCTTCCCGATTAACTTCCCTCCATTCTGTGCGGTATAGTGATGCGTTTACATTGCTGTGTATGCGGTATTTTAACGTTCCAAATGTTCCTGTAATGCGCGGACAAATATATACGGTTTTTGGTTGCTGCCAACGAGTAACGCTCAGCTTCCTGTAAAGCCAATACACGGTGATCCAAGAGAAACGCAAGGGAAAGATGGAAGCTGGCGACGAGAAATTCGAAAACAGGTGGCGCGCGTTACAGTCGACGATCCGACGAGCGCACTTGTGATCTTCGAGGCAGTTGCAGCCATAGTTTGGGAAAAGCTTGCGGCGGCTCGCTCAGACCCACTCATGAAATATATTTTACACTATGAGGTGATCACTAGAACTCCTGCTTACCAAAATTTTTTTCTAAGCCGGTCTCACTTCGATTTACACTCACGAACGTTTTCTTCAATCAGACTCCGATTCACTTAACTATTACTCAATCCGGA